TAGTTCTCCTGTGCTGCCCAAAGTCAAACTCACTTGGCAGTGCCCCTTGGCACTGCCAGTAGGCACCCCCCCTAGTTCAGGGCTATAGCCAAAAGCCACAATCCAGCTCCTAACTACACCATCAATACTTAGGTAGAATGCAGCCTCCTCTAAACTGCTAATGGTGTTTCAAAATGTGACAGCACTCAACACAGATCAGCTCACTATTAGAGCATACATTCATAGTTGAACTTAAGAATCACAGAATCATAGGAAATTAAAGTTGGAAGGAACCTCAAGAGGTCATCTATTCCAACCCCTTGCTCAAAGCAGCACCATCCCCTCAGCCATACTGTTCCACTCAAGGCTTTTTCTTGCCAGGTCTTAAAAACCTCCAAGGATGGAGATCTACAACCTCTCGGGGTAACCTGTTCCAGTGCTTTACTACCCTCCTAGTGAGAAAGTTTTTCCTAATATCTAACCTAAACTTCCTTAGGTGCAACTTAGACTGCTGCTCCTTGTTCTGTAATCTGCCACCACTGAGAACAGTCTAGCTCTGTCCTCTTTGGAATCACCCTTCAGGTAGTTGAAGGTGCCTATTAAATTCTCTCTCAATCTTCTCTTTTCCAGACTAAATAAGCCCAGTTCCCTCATCCTCTCCTCGTAAGTCATATGCCCCAACACAAAAGGATGAGAATCCTGAAAAGTCATGCAGGGATCTTTCATGTTAACATTTGGATTTGTTAACAAGAATAAACGACACATATTTATGGTTGGCTGTGCCCAAAGGCCGTAAAGATTGGGGTTGTGCTGTGCTGGCTGCTTTAATATGCCTGGCTGAAAGAGTGCTGGTCCTTGAGTCAATGCTGTCTACTGTCATCCAGGAGGTACTTAACTTAGTGACGAGCACTAAAGATATATTTTAGAACAATAAATATATATTAGAACACTGAATTCCATCCAGCTATTCATTGCTTAGAAGAATTGTTTGGGGCCCTGAGAAAAATATCCTCTTTTCAGAGGCAGAAACTGTCCTTTGTGCACATACACATAAGTAAAATTTAAGCACTGGCAAAACTTCTTAGATGAAATTTTGAGTCCACACAAGTTAATGGGAGTTGATCTGCGGTGCTCTGAAAATGTACTCCCCAGATGGCCCCTTGTAAGAGGCCTCCTGGCTATGGCTCCTAGTTGGAGACAAAAAGGAGAAAGAACCTATTAGTGCAACCACACAGTTCATCCAAAACAGCAAAACAACAGAAAAAAAGTTAAAATTAAAATGAAACAAATTTCTGAAGAAAGGAAAGACTGCAAGTTCCTTACCTCCAGATGCACCAGCACTTCCATGGGATAAGTGAAACTATCCACAAAAGCAGGGACACTGCCCAAGAGCTCAGTGTCTGGGTATGATGTGCTATGTCCACGTTGCACTGTTGCAGCTTGCACAGGTTCAATCACAAGAAAAAAATCTCCAGTGCAGCCTCAGCTTAGGAGTACTCTCCTGTCACTAACACTAAGGCCAAAAAACAAATACCTCATCATAAATTACTGGCAGTATTCAGAACTGTAAAACACAGACGGGCCAAGTTCAAGCAAGGGACAGAGAGCTTACAGTGCCTGGACCATTCTGAAAATAATACAATTAATGAACAAGATTATGATCTATATTCTAAAGCAAGATATAACAGTCCCAACAAAGACAATTACATCATGGTTATCCTCTGACTCGGTTACAACTGGGTTTAAAACTGCAGTATAGGTTGTGTCCTAACTGTGTCCCGCAACTGGGCTAAAACCCTAGAGCTCTAGAACCTAATTTTCGTAGTGGTGAGCAAATGCACCGCTTCCCCCCAAATTGCAAGTTGTCATTATCTCTGAAACTCAAACCCCAAACTCCCAAATGAATGTGAAGGGTTTTGGTTTTTTGTCAGGCCCTTGAAAAATGAACAACAAAGTTCAGTTCCTGAGTGGATTTGTTTGCTGAAATGGTGCAAACTCACACACCCTGCCAAGGAATTTTAAAGCTTTATATTTCATTCTGAAAAAGGAGAACTGAGATTGTGTATCAGACTTTGAAACGGTTTCACTATGAATCTCTATTTTAGAAGTTACTAGAAACACACAGCTCTAGACAAAATGATAAAACTCTAATACAGATATAAAGAGTCCCCCAGATCCAACAGAACTTGTCTGCCAAAGATAGATTCTCCAAACTGTGACAAGTGTACTTGGCTTCTGCTGCCATCTGCACAAAGGAAAGCAAATACCAGTACATTTGTTCAGTCTTGTTACCCTATGATGGTGTATTTTCTTTTATGAGGATAAGGAATTGACAGCCTAACATGAGAACAACTTGATTTTTGTATCTCAGCAACGGCATCATTCTTGGATACAAAATCTCTAGAAAGTGGGTCAGTGGCACTGAAATGCTTCATTGGCTCAAAGCAGGCTTAAGACTGGATTAAGCAGTTAAATCAAAGGGCGCTCTTTGTGTAGTAGAATCACTGTAGTTGGCATGACACCATCTTGCCAGGCAGCCCTTGCTGTCGGAAAAGAGGAAGGACTAGAGGATACTCCTTACAACCCTCAGTTGGTTTAATGGTCCCTTAGCTCTGAAGCCTCTCCATATTGTGCCCGGAGCAAATGAGGTTCTTGAGTAGATCCAGGGGACAGTGGCCTACATGCCGATTCATGCACTAGCCCTAAGGCATTGGCTTAGCATGTACAGGACACTCATGAGTGCAGAGAAAAAGAAGGCAGGCTACACTTCTCCAGTGGGTGTCTGATAGGGCTGTGTGAAATTTTGGCAGCTGTTTCGTTTCAGAGGCGTTTTGGGCCATTTCGGCACCCAAAACACCGAATCTGAATCAAAATAGAAGGCTTCGAAACGTCTCTGAAACAAAACGAGGCATCCGAAACGTTTTGGAAGTGTTTTGAAAAATTTTGGAGTTTTGGAGCTGGGCTTGCAGGGAAACAGCTGTATACTGCTGCCCTGCCATGTGACTTGGCTCCAAAGGGAGCAGAGGTCTGCACCGGGGATCTCCTTGCTGCTGCTGCCCCAGCGACACGGGGCTGCATGGGGCAGGCAGCAGCGGCAAGGAGACCTCAGTGCGGATCTCTGCTCCCTGTGGAGCCAGGTCACGCGGCAGGGCAGTGCTGGTCCCTGCTGTGCAACCTGGCTTTGCAGAGATATGGAGCAGCGTGGGGCGGGCAGTAGAATATAAAATGAGGTCTAAATGAAAAATAGCAAAAGCAGAGACAGCGCGGGGTGGGCAGCAGCAGTGAGGAGACCCTGGCGCGGATCTCTGCTTCCTGCAGAGCTAGGTCGCGCTGCAGGGACCAGCACTGGCCTGCCACACAACTTGGCTCTGCAGGGAGCAGAGATCAATGCTGGGGTCTCCTCGCTGCTGCTGCCCACCCCATGCTGTCTCTGCTTTTGCTATTTTTCATTTGGATCTCATTTTATTTTCCTTCTTTCTCCATTCACAAAAAGTAATAAAATATCCAAACAAGGCTGATGATAGTGATGATTAAAATACCTACAAGCCCTGTACCTAAACTAGTATTTGTCACATTCTTGTATCCTAGGTCATGCAGGCACATGGGTGTTTTCTGCCCACAAGCACACCCATGATGCAAGCGCACATACACTTGCGTGTGCATACACACATAAGTATGGATTAATTGCTCAGAAAGATGTCTTTCAGTTGCCTTTTACTTTTGTCCACAAGTGAGAATTTCTAACACTCATTTGAGCTAACAAGCTTTTTATTTAATGTAAGATGTTATTTAGGGAAAGGGGATGGGGATGATATTTGGGGATTGTTAGTATGCATGTATCCATTTAAAAAGTAAAAATTACTAGAAGAAAACAGGGTAAAAACACCTATTACTGCTACTATGTTTTCTTTTTGGACAAACAACTAGTGAACTGTTACTTCTTGAATTTTAAAAAAAATCTGTTTTTCAGTATAGGCTTTCTGACCAATACTCCTTTTGAAAAGATGAATAGATATCAATAAATAGCCTCCAAGTGATGTAAATAAAACTCCAAGTGATGTAAAGAAAATAATGAAAAGGCACAAAGAAATTCAACATACATTTTTTTCTGAATGACAAGTTAGGGAACATACAATAGGGAAAATGTTTATAACCCCATCTTTTGCATTATGCTACTGAAGCATAAATAGCTTCCAATTTTAAGTATATCTGGAATTGCTAAACTTACTCCTTCTCCTAGCTACAATCAGGTGTCCAGGACATATGCTACACATTTAGTTTAAAGCTTGACAGATCTGGGAGTTGCAGAATACAACACTTCTGAGATGTGAATGCCTCAGAGTTAATGATCTGTACACAAACTGCTCCAGCTTAAATAATCAGTTACCAATACGTGACTTCTGAGAATAAATAATAAGCAAGAACTAAAGAAAATCAAATTCAGGAATTAATACATGAACAAATAAACAATGGCAGTATTTCCTCTCTACTTCCTATTTTTAAGAGTATCACGTGATTTGGCTACCCACGTAAAAACAGTATTTTGAATTAAGGCAGACAAGAAGAAAAGGACCAGCTCAACTAAGCAGAAAATGTATCTGACGAGCATATTAAACACAGGAGCTAGAGCATAAGTCTAGGTTATCATAGAAGAACAAGGTGAAAAAGTTCACACGTACTGAAGTAAATTCCAAAGATAACCATAACACTTTAATCTATTGTGTGTTGCTTTAAATAGTTTGTTCAAAGATTCTTCAGTTTCATTTTGCTGTTTTATCATATTTAATACATTCCCTGGTACGCAACGTCGGGAAGGGTCTGTGATGGATTAGTATTACATGATATTCAAGGTTGCCACTTTAAGCCAAATTCCTTATCTCCTCGAGATTTCAGCCAAATTTAAAGAAATGAAAACACTCCAGGGGAAAAAATGCCCTCCAAAGCTTGCCTTGTTATTTCAGTTTCTGCATAATGCTATTAGATGACAAGTAGTGCAAACTCTACTCGAAGTAGAAACTTACTGCTTGTTGTGAAGTTACCCTCCCCAACCTGGGGAAAGGGATCTACATCCTGGATGACTTGTAACACTCCCACAGTCCGGACAGGAGGATCCAAAGCTACGGAGCTTTCATTCACAGTTATATCACTAGCTCCTGTAATCTGATTGGTTGGAGGTCCACCTATGGAAGATTCAAAATCTGGAGGTATATCGTCTATGCAATCCGCATTTGGCTAATGGAAATAAAAAGAAGAAACTATGAGCGTTCATAGCACAGTACATTTCATTTCCTCTGCGCCTTTCTTTTTAAATCATTTACCTACTGCTAATAATGTCACCTCACTGATTTCAATGGCACCACATATGAATATTTAAAAGTTCAGGCCCGTAAATGGTAACATCCAACAAATACACAGTTAGTTTGCTTTCTGTGTACTTATATCCTCCTAATAGTATATGTGGTAAGACTTAAGAGTATGTGGAGAAATGTTTATCACGAAAAAGTATTACCATCTATAATATATTCTCTCTCAAAATTTGGTAAAAGTATGAGGTCAAAGATGAGTACATGTATGCAGAGTCAGATTATGAGCATAAACCCAGGCACTCTATGGAAGAGAATTTGTACCTTCTAAATCATTCCTTTCCCAAAATAATACCATATTTTCTCAGATACAACACACACCTTTCCCAACAAAATAAGCCCCACAAAATTGAGATTAGTGTTTTAAGCAGGGAAGCTGATTTTCTGCCAGGGATAGAAGAACCCTGCTTTGTTTCCTGCTTGTCAGTACAGCAGCTATTATATTACTATTCAGGGCAGTTGAATAGTAACAGGGAGAGAGGGAGTCAATTGACTTAATGACTCTTTGTTCTTTACTCCATAAGTGTTAATGATCCTCTCTCCTTTTTAATGGTCTTGATGTTCCACTAATCAAGCTAACTGTTTAAAGGGCATTTTTGATGTCTGCTAGCTGCATCTGGTCTCTCTCCTGCTATTTCAGAGCCTTAGCAACTCTAGCTCTCTTCAAAAATCATCACCCATGGAGACTAATTCTCAGCAGCAGCTAGGGATTCAGCTTTAATTAATGGGAAAGGAAGGGTGAGCTAGCAGAGGATAATCCTCTATGCTGCCATAACCCTGGAACTATCTTTTTTTCCTTCATTCTGCCTTTCAAAACCAAAGCCTGTATTATATACCTGGGACAGGTTGCATGTGTGAAAATACTGTATATTCTATTGAGTTGGTATCACAGAGTTTGTAGTAAAGATAGGGAACTGATAAGAATTACTACTGGGCACATACATTCGTGTGCAGGAGAAAAAGCAGAATAAAGAGAACTGGCTACATAATGGAAACTATTTATGATGTTAAGGCTGCTGGTAGATGTTAATATAATTGTGCAGTTGGGATCTGAAAAACTTTATGCCCAATCCCAAAAATCATAAATCCTGCCATGCCAGATATTCATGGCAGGGCATGTGATTTTTGGGATCAGGTATAAAATTCCTGTCCCCAACTGCACAATGCCTGGGGGTTGGGAGTTCCCCAATATCCAGCTGCCCACCCTGTAGCATTAGCTACAGTTTTAAATGTCCCCTGCACAAGGACATGTCAAGTCTTGTGCAGCAGGGAAGAAGGCAGCTCCAGTTTGCAGGTGTAGGACCTGGAGATGCCTCTGTAGGATCTGCCAGTGGGCAGCCTCAGGTCTTGGGTCCAGGACTCAGGGCTGTCCTATGCCCAGGGCCAACAATCAGGTGTCCAGGACATATGCCACACATTTAGTTTAAAGCTTGATACAAACCAGATGTGGAACATCTTTGTGGCTGGTTTGCCATTTTATCCCACTATAAATTCTCTGAACATGTGGTATATTACAATTTATATTGTAATTACCATATTAATATCTGCCCGGGCTTTACATTTTGCCTATAATATCATTTATTTCTCTTAGCTGAAAATAATGGAAAAACAAGAATTTCAGGAGCTATATGCTATCCTCAGTCTTCCCAATTTTGTAGTCTCAGAAAAGTCAAGTAAATTAAAAAACAAAACAAGAACGCACAAAAATAAAACAAAAGTTTCATCTCCAAACTAAAACACATGACATATCCAGCAAGCACGTGACTATGCCCTGAAAGAAAAATGTTAGATAGCTTGCTTCAGTTTTTAAGTGCTGAGATTTCTACTAGCTTTCTCTAAGTACCGCCTCATGAATTAAAAAGTGATGAATGAACTAAAATAAAATTCTAGTGATCTTCCAAGTATTTCTGTGTGGGTTCCTCTCATGTTCGCACAAGGGTGATTACTAGAAAGCACCCCCATGAACATTAGTAGCAGTTCTGTTAGAAACTGCCTACCTACATCCACAGGAAAAAATATTCTAATTCTGCCAACAAATATGCCATGTCATGTCAGCAGAGGTGCCATATTTCCTTTTCTCCACAGCACAGATATATACAATTTGTTCACCAGAAACAGATTCTTTATGTTGTGGTATAAAATAATGACAAAGAGAACTGAAGGGGATGACCGATAAGAAGATGCATTCACATTCTGCAAGTAGAAAGAGGAACATTTGGAACTGCAGGTACCCAGACACACTGTTAAGCTTAGGAGTTACCAAACACTTACAGCCATAATTTTTAATATATTTAGGTTTATAACCTTATGAGGCCCTTTTGTAAATCTCATTAGCTGCCTGCTAGCATCTTAAGACATCTAAATTCCTCCGGCCCTTATGATCTGACTCAGCCAAGTGCATAAACATGTGCTTAACTTTAGGTACAGGAGTAATCCTATTGAACCGAGTAGGAGTGAGACTATTCCACTGTATAAAGTAAAGCATATGCTCAAGTGTTTTGCTGGATCAGGATGTTAGAAAAGTTTACCCTTTCCTTTGAATTTCTTGGTTTTTTTGTTTCTTTTACTACATCTTTTTTTTTCTTTTGCCATAGTTTTTAATGAAAGAGATGTGTATTTAAAATGCTCAGATCATTTTTTTTTTGTTCACAGACTCAAATTTAGGACAAACATTAGTACATTGCTAGAAAATTTTAAAAAGCTAGTTCACAGGCAGGCAGACTCAGAGCTGGAGAAAGATTAAAAAATGGCTGGCACAAAGACATACTGAATCTTCAGGAAAAAGAAATTCTACTGAAACCCATTTAACTGGTATTCTTTTCAGTGCAGCAATGCATATTTTAGTTTTATAAGCACAATCAAAAGTTGCTGGGCACAAACATAGCTCCCTTCCCACATTTTTCAGTGGTTGGAGAGCCCATTTTCATTATAAATACCTTTGAAATGTCATAATATAATCAAATTTGGTTTTGAGTTCTAAACGATCTAATGAAAAAAATGGTTGGTTTTTTTTTAGCATTGTAATTACAAAAATGCTTGAAATATTTTTTCCAGTGATTGATCCCTGCTCTCTGCCCTTGTATCTGCATTTCCTCTCTGAGAACAGGACTCTATTCAGCGACTTTTAAACCCTTAAAATAGGAAATTCCAATGAAAAGCTAGACAAAACATTGAGTAGTGATATTTGGGCAGTTTTAGTTCAAGTAATTCATACTTTTATTCATGCAGGTTTACTTTTGTATTAAGTAGCAGACTTTAATAATAATGATATGAAGCACTGTTCTTTAAAAATCATTATTTGTGACTCTCTTTGAATGACACAAACACATTTGGTAAGTTTTGTTTGTTGTATTGGCTTCTCTCCTTTTCTATACAGGTGCACCCCATCAGTCTGATCCAGAGCTCACTGAAATCAATGGGAGTCTTTCCTTTGGCATCAGCATATTGTGTACCATGGTTTTTTATGAAGGGCTCCAACTCATCCAATCTACTAGAAAAAGTGCAGCATATTTAGAACACATTTAAAGAAAGGAGGAGGACTCAAAGAGAGAATTTTTTTACATTATCATCTTGAAAATGAGGCAGCTCTTTGAAATTTAAAGAGAGGAGAGTCACTTTAAATACCCTGATGCAAAGATGCCAAGCTTTAAGAGCACATACAGGTACTAGCAGAAGGATGTAGGCCAAACTTGTACTGACCTAAATGGTGGTGAAGGTTTGTAATGGAGGTCCAGTTCAATGAACAGGAGCTGAGAACTTGTGAAACTTTATCTATTTACATTAAAACCTTATTTCAGGAAGACATTTTGAAAACCTTGACTATAAAAGAGTTAATTGCGTCTAAACTGCCAAATTTTCACGTACCAATTAAAAATTTAGATCTACCTTTTAAAATCCATTTTAATTAGAAAATATTGTTCCTTCTTGTTAGAAGGAAAAGCCACACCATTAATATTTACATAAGCCAATTTTGCAAAATATACCAATAAGCATACAGTTGGCAGGAAGATGACATATGCTGCAACAGCTGAAAGTACTGCCTATAGTTAAAATTTCCCAATATTTCCCATTATAAAACATGGTCTGGAGTTGCTTATGACTTTAACTACTTAAGCTGCTTTTTTCCATGATAGGCATATGCCTTCAGCTTATGGCTGAGTTTTTTTGGAGTCCTATTGTTTTGTCCATTTTAAACAAAATCCTATAACCACTTCATTGCGAAGCTCTAGTACCCGAACACTTTGGACCAGGGACTGAAATTTGGCAGGCTGATGGCGTTGTGCCAGGAATGTGCCTTTGGTTGTGCCTGTGGAGTTCCAATCAGATTCATCCAAGTGCAGAATATATGGAATTCTCAATTCACATATGCTCAGCAGAGATCTGTTACCATTTGGCAACTGTACAAGTAAAGCAGAAACAGAAGGTCTGTAACCACTAGAGCACTCCCCTTCTCCTGAATCCAGGAATCTGGAGTCTCTGCATCCCTCTGCTGTCAGTAAATTGGTCTAAACTTCTAGAGCAAAAGGTGTGTCACTTTCTTTTTACTGCCTGGTCCACATAAATGGTAACAGCCTAACCTTAGCTGGTACTCCAATAGCTTAAGTGATAGAGAGCCATGATATAGACCCAACAGCCCTAACTAGCTGACAGTCCATGTCGTGGTCAGCATGGTTTCCAAATGATGCAGTGTGTTTTTTCAGTTTTGTTTCTAAGAAAGCTAGGAAATTATATTAAAAAAAATGTATGCAAATAAATAGAATAGAAAAAATTAAGATTGCAAAATTTAAAATTAAGGATGCCAGTATAATCTTCATTTTCTCCCACTGGGGCAACTGCATGGTCTCTATTATGATTCTATTCTTTATTTAAATGACACACACTGCTTTTTCCACAGAACTCCTGCATGGCCAGCACTCACTCAAAGAATCAATCAAGGGTATAAACATATATAAACATTAGAGGTGCACCAATACATCGGTCTGATATCGGATCGGCACCGATATAAAGAAAATTGATTGTATCGGAATTCAGCCTAATGTGGCTGAGCACAGCACAGCAGGCAGCGCAGTACGTAGGTGACGAAGAGCACAGCCCAGCAGCATAGAGAGCTGCGTGCAGCTGGTAAGTCTGTTGTGGTGGATGGAAAGGAGGGAGGGAAGGGCATGTGCTGGCAGATGAATGACCCCCGCAGTGAGGGAGTGGGGAAGGGGAGGGGCACAGGATAGAGCTGTGGTTCGTCTGGGGGGTGCAGGGCAGGGGCGGCAGCTCCAGCTGCTGTATGCACCCCGGGAGGACATGGGGAGGGGTAGATGTGCCCCCAGATCTGCGTGGGGCAGGACAGGGTGGGCTGTAGCTGAGGGCTGCGGCGGTGTCAGGCTCTTCCTGGTGCATGGAGGCTGCGCTCAGGGCTGTGGAGCCATGCTCTGAGTGCACCCTCAGCAAGTATACAGATGACACCAAGCTGGGGGGAGCAGTAGATACTCTGGAGGGTAGGGCTAGGATTCAGTGACCTAAACAAATTGGAGGACTGGGCCAAAAGGAATCTCATGAGGTTCAACAAGGATAAGTGCGAAGTCCTGCACTTAGGATGGAACAATCCCATGTACAGGCTGGGGGCTGACTGGCTGGGCAGCAGCTCTGCAGAAAAGGCCCTGGGGGTTACAGTGCACAATAAGCTGAATATGAACCAACAGCGTACCCCTGTTGCCAAGAAGCCTAATGGCATACTGGGCTGCACTGGTAGGAGTGCTGCCAGCAGCTCAAGGGAAGTGATTATTCCCCTCTATTCAGCACTGGTGAGGCCACATCTGGAGTACTGTGTTCAGTTTTGGGCTCCCCACTACAGAAAGGATGTGGACAAATTGGAGAGAGTCCAGTGGAAGACAATGAAAATGGTGAGGGGGCTGGGGCACATGACTGCAGAGGAGAGGCTGAGGGAACTGGGCTTATTTAGTCTCGAGAAGAGAAGACTGAGAGGGGAATTAATAGCAGCCTTCAACTACCTGAAGAGGGGTTCAAAGGAGAATGGAGCTAGACCATTCTCAGTGGCGGCAGATGACAAAACAAGGAGCAATGGTCTTAAGTTGCAGCAAGGGAAGTTTAGGTTAGATATTCTGAAGAATTTTCTCACTAGGAGGGTAGTAAAACACTGGAACATGTTACCCAGAGGTTTTTAACCAATGGTATCCAGGTTACCTTGGAGGTTTTTAAGACCTGGCTAAACAAAGCCTTGGCTGGTATAATCTAGTTGGGGATGATCTAGGTTTGAGCAGGGGGCTGGACTAGATGACCTCCTGAGATCCCTTCCAACCCTAATTTTGTATGATTCTATGTTTCATGGTTACTAAAGCTCCTCAGCAGCACTCAGGAGAATGCGACTGTACTCCTGCTTCTGCCATGCAATTTGCATGTGGTGTTGGGCAGGTCATGTAAATTAGAATATGTTATTTATTTTCTAGAATCTGAGTCACTACAGGTCACATTTGCAGAAGTGCTTGCCATTCAGAACTAGAACTGAAGTAAATATGAACTGTGCTAAGAACATGAAAAATGGTAGACGATACCAGACATCTGAAAAATCAAGCCTAAAGCTTATCAAACTGGGCACTCAAAATGACTGGAGACTTGACTACATCCTCCATGGGTAAAATTCAGATAATAATTCTATCTTACTTCTTTGGGGTCTTGTGAAGCATTCAACTACTGCAGTAATAAAGCCACTGAAACGCACATGACAAAAGGAACAATTCTACATTCAGCACAGACTGCATGATGTGGAAATAAGACATGGTGTCATACACTGAATGAGGAGGATAAAATTAAATATTGTAAAACTGCTCACTAAGTGAGTACTGCCTATCCTGTGCACTGAGTCAGGGACCCCATGAAAAAATAACTGCATGAACAAGTCATTAGAGTATAACACAATGCTGAATTGCACAGGCAACCTTAATTCTGACATTTCCTGACCTCCAGGTGCTTCAGATTGTAACATTAATGTATTTTTCATGTTTTACTTTGTGGACAATATATGTGTATGTTAGAAAAAATTGCTTATATATAGTGATATAATAATAATTTCATAGGCAGTTTTAGTTTTCATTGTTCTAAGCTAGTTAACACACCTGCATGATTTTTTTTTCCTTCTGCATTTTTCCATAGTAATAAAACATCACTTGCTACCAGCCTTGTTTTTCATCTCAGTAGTCTGTTTGGATTATATCTCTGTGACAGTTCATTGCTGCACTTGGAGGTAGCTACATTAGTTGTCCTAATTTGTTCATATACTCTCCTTTGTTTTGCCACAGCTCACTTGTGTAGCACACAGATATATAAAACTGGCATACTGCCATCTCTGCTTGGAGATGGTATTTGGAGCAGCTGCTAGTCCACCAACTACCAGTGTTTCAGCTTTGAACTGTACAGTCATAAGTTACTTTTCCACCCAATGCATAGATGGTGTCATTATTGCTGGAGAAGGCAGTGAACTTTATAATACCTGCTTTTAGGAATACTGGATATATGCAACATCTGAATTTGAAAATTCAAGTATCAATTCACAGTTTGGGGTTTGTTTTTTTTTTGCAGATTTCTAAACAGCTCTGAATGTACTGGATGACAAACAGTCTGTGTCCTTATATCATATGATTCACTCCATGTTTAATTAATTGGGGGAAAGGTTTCATAAGCAGGAGGCCTACTGCAACTATGCTGTAAGATAAGGGATGGGACCAATCACATAAGGGCCATAAATCTGGTGGTCAGCATTAGAGGCCAATGGTCTTATTCTTATGCCTCAGGAGAAATTTTAGTTTTACATTTTTGCTTTGACATTGCAATAAAGACTGAAGTCAAGAATAAAATCCCAGTCCTAATATAAAACAGTAAACGGAAAAGGTCTACTTGAGAACGTGGAAATCCATCCAAGTCCTTAAACAAACAAACACTTTCAACAAACTAAACCACACGCACACCCACCCCCAACCCTTCCCAACAGGTGGGTGTAAAGAATGGGAAGCAAAAATGGGACGCATTATTCACTTGTGTGCCCCCAAATACATCAGCATACCATAGCGCTAAGGGTGGTTTGAGAACCGAGAGAGAGAAACAGATGGGCACGCGCCCAAACAGGAGAGGTTTTCACTCTGTGGCTGGTCGGCCACGTGCCATGCTTACCGGAATCCCTAGAGCTTTCAGAATGTTCATTTTACACATAGGGCAGGTGCGATGGTCTAGCAGCCAGGGATCTACACAAGATTTGTGAAAGAGATGCCTGCAATGAAAAGCAAGATATTTTAAATTCCCATCCACCCCAACAGAGGTTAAGAGTTTTTCGGCGAGTCCTAGCAGTTTCTTTTGAACTTGGTCAAATCTGGGAGTGGTGAAAGTGTGGTTTTGTCGTATGCAAGAGGCTTAGAAAATGGCACGGACACAGTATAAAATGCCCTTCCCTTTTATCTCATTCAGGTATGTGCACAGCCCCCTGCCAGTGCCAGCAAGATGTATACAAACTAGAAATTCCAAAAAAATCAGAAAAAATAGTATGTTACATGTAGCAGCAAAAAAACTTTCTTAAACTCTTATAGACTGTGAACTCTAATACTTGTAAAGAGAATGCGACTGGTAGTAAAGGTCAAATCACACAGGTCTCTAGTGATGGCCCCAGAACACAAAGGTGATCCTACAATCATGGTTTGTACTGACTCACTTTTTGTGGGAAAAATGTCAAAAGGCAGAGGCAGGGAAAAGACAATACTTAGAAGAAAGAAAAATAAGAGCAAGAAAAAGTAAAACCACTACTACTTTTATCTTCCTGCTCCTAAACCACCAGCTATTGAAATGAAGCACTCTAGCTGTATATTTCTCTTCCTAATGTATGGCTGATGCTGTTCCTTCAGCCAGAAAAAGATGGCCAGTAAGACAGTGAAGGCATCTGGATGATGCAAGGCATCTTGCTCACATTTTATCCAGTTACAGGTAGCATAGTTTCTTGACCATGAGTCTAAGGTACCTACAGCTGCCCAACCAAAAATGAGGCTGTATAAACCAACATTAATGCAGTATTTCCCAAACTTTTGATACCCGGGACACGCTTTTCTGGATTAAATACTGGCAGGACACTTCATTCTTACACCCAAAAAGGTGTGTGTGTATGTATATAAAGATAGAAATAATTTTTTTCTTCCAAAACATATATTCCATTCCCTTGCCAGAGGAAATCAACCAGGCTGAGATGTATTATCAAAAAAATTGACATTAAAAAAATCTCTTTAAGCAAAGGGTTAGTTTTTATACCAGTGGCTCTCAACCTTTTTATCCTCAAGCCCCCTCCATACCTTTTCTGAATTTTGCAGCACCTGAGTTGAAAATCACTGAGATAGATCCAAATTCAGAAAATATCTGGAGGGGGGCCTTGAGGCTAAAACAGTTGAGAACTACTAATCTAGCTGCCTGATACCACTTAAGGGCAGTGGGGGCAAGACTTCACTGTGACGTGCCCTGCTCTTTCCCCTCTCTGCCCCCTTCCAGCCCCAGGTCTGTAGCTCAGGGGGCAAAGGGTGTTCAGGTTGCTTCTGCAGGGTTTCACATGCTGGTGATCACCCCTGCAGTCCCTTGGAGTGTGGAAGAAATGAAGGGGACAAGCTGAGCGGTGTGTCCACCAGCCTGCCTCCTTGCAGCAGACCATGCTGCTGGGAGCATGGGGAAGGCTGGCCCAGGGGCTGCCTGGGGGCAGGGAAGGCAGCAGCAGTGGCGGCAGTCCCCAGAGGAGCAGCCTCAGGTGCTGCTGGGGTAGCTGGGGCAGGTGCAGAGTGGGGAGGACAGCAATTCCCTCTTCACACAGGGGAGATCTCGCACCGCACTGCTGTGGCTCTTGCAGTACCCCTTTCAGAACCAGTGATTGAATGCGTACATTTTATGGATGCCTTTGCTTCTTCTCGGGAGGATGTGCTGTGGGGTGTGGAAATCAAGATATCCAAGGGAGGAAATCAAGAATTCCCAGAGTGCTCAGTGAGGAAATTATCTGCTGTCTTTGTGTCTGAGTTTCAGAGATTTTCCACAAAGGGAGTGCCCACGCACAGCCTAGTGGGAGCTCCTCACTCCTTTTAATTACTGCAACATGTGCAGCCTTTTGGCCAGGCTTTGTCTGGTTTGTTTGTAAGTTATTCTGAAAATATTTTATCTGAGGGGAATCTATCCCCAGGAGAGAGGTGGTGTCCATTTGCCCAGATTTTCACGAGGGAGAACCTGACTGCAGCTGGATGGAGGTGTGTTGAGGCAGAGACTTGGTCTCAGTTTAGACTCTGGAGCAGAGGCCTCTTCTCCTGAAAGTCAGAGTATTTTGTAAAAAAAAAAAAAGAAAAAATTGTTTCTTCCCATTCATCTTTGGGTTTTCATGAGAATATCTGCTATTTTCTTTTCTGTCACTAAACAGCTGTTTTTGCATTATCTTGGACACTGAATTTATTTAGTCAAGAGTAAGACACACCAGCTTATCTCATATGTATATTTGCTCCTCCCTGAACATGCCCTGTAGCTTCATCTGCATTAGGATACTTTGTACCTATTTCCAACCCCTATTTCAGTCTATAATACCACCTACTTTATTGTTAGCATTGACCTAACTGTACGGATCTAAAAACAGTGTAGCCGTAGTCTTGGCATCTAGGTTTCTGTGCAAGAACTTGCATACACACTTACCTAACAAAAATTGGACAGAAATACAAAGGACTTGAACAAAATTGAAAGAGGACATTTTTATATTAAAATAGGAGGATCCATATACACATATGAATTAAAATGAGAAATGCTGCAGACTAAATCCAATTGGCTTACTTCAGGGCAAGTGTAAATGCCTTCTCTTAAGTATATAAGGGAATATTTCAAATATCTACCCTTGCATGTCATATTTCAGTCAGGCAGAACTTTGCTGAGGTATTGTCCACACTGCTGAAGACAGGCATATAAACACGTATTTCACTGTGATTCTACATTTCACTGGGCCTTCACTAACCCACACATGTATTTCACTGGTGTCTTTAGGAGTCGTTACCTACCAGGAAAAGGGCACATCTGCCAACTAAACTAATACTATCTGTTGAGTTAGCAGATCATCAATAACAGAAATACTATCTCTGCACAGAAGATGTTACTGCTGAGAAAGCCAGGATCATCTCATGTACAGGAATATTTATGTATTAAGTCCAATATGTGCAAAGTAATAATTTTGCTTCTGTATTCCATCTCAATGTTTAAAAAACAAACAAACACAAAACCCCCAACATTGTTCCTCACATAAAAAGACATATAACAGTCTTTCAACTAGTTGGAAGATACTGAGGTACATTTTCATCATTGTTAATTCTTAACTACTCTTACTACGTGGTTGTATCGTTCTGTATACTTGCTGGATTTCATATTACATAGTAGTAGAAATTCTAGTCGAAAAGTATATGAAATCTGAGACCCTTACTCACTCAGCTCAGCTCCCTTTCTTGTGGACATGGACCCTCTGGGAGTAAAGTTAAAAGAGAATTGATAATACTCCCTTTTATTCTGAGTCTGACTTCATACTGCTATGGTAGAGAGCAGATCTCTTCTTGGAAGCTGAATCTAGTCTAATTATATCAATTGGCTGCAACACCAAAGTTTGTCAGGCCTCATCCGACACTGCATGTCATCATGATTCATGTAAATGAAGTATCATGATACTTAAAAGTTAAAGCCACTACTTTGCTAAGGTTACTAAGGTTCACAACTCTTTTTCCAAAACAGCTTTTGCCTTGTTGGGAAAACCACATAATGCATCAAATTTCAATCTCTGTAGTATCTAATCCCTGCCTTCTCCTTATCCCAGGAGGTTTGTATTCAGCATATCATCAGACAAGCATTTCCAGTAGGTGAAAGCACTGCAATATATAGCTTATTTACAATCCCCGAGGAGCTACTCTAAGAACCAATAACTGAGAACCAATAAATAATTTACATTTAAAGCTTATGCTCAGTCAAATTACCTTGAGTGTGTTGATTTATGTAGTATACTGAAGTCAACGTCTTGTTTTTGAGCTATATGTAATAACTATATTAAATATTATTAATTAGTTGATTTGTTTTCTTTAATAATGTACCCAAACCCCTATGCTAGCATAAGTGCCAACATTTAAAGCTAATTTTAGCCAAAATAATCAATTTAAGTATTTTTTAGAGAGCTTGCATATTCATATGCTCTTGAAAAAAAAAACTGGACAAAAATCTGCTTCTGATCAAGAGTATGTAACTTGCAGAAATAAGGTCAGGTCATTCCAACATAGACTTGAAAGTCCCCCTTTGTTTTCAAGTTCCAGCTCTGCAAACCTCAATGAGGCCACAGATCACATTACAGCATTTCATAAGGACTGTTAATCAGAGAAAATTTGGAATTTTCATGTTTTACAGGCATTTAACTGAAGTTCTGCTCTCCTTGAGGTCAGCTGGTTTTATAGAACAACACTCTTAAAGGAAAGCTATCAATGTCAAGTGACTTAACCTTGTGACGTATCTCTTTGCACTGCTTCAAATACTAAATTAAATGATATACTATAGTTTAATTGGTTTTAGCCTGTATTTGTACAACAGTTGGTCAGATTGAAGGATCATTTTATTTGTTAGAAAATGTGTTAGTTTCAATGGCTCCAAAATGAGATGTGTAGGTTTAAAGTCCCTTCCAGCCCTAAACTTCTGTGAATTTGTTACAAATCAGAGGTCAAAATGATCTCTTTATCATTTTGCATAGCACTGTTTGGGTAAATGAGGAATCTATTTTTGCAAATTTTGTTGTGAAGCTCTGTTTTATTTTTTATCCCGTGTTACATTCCCATACATGTACAAGGCATTTTAAACAAACAATCAGGGGATCTTTGCCCTGAAGACTTCATAATTCACAGCAGGTAGAAAAAGACAAACAAAGAATAAGATGTAAGGGCAACAATAACATGATGCAGTCATTTGAGAAAACTCAGCGGTCTTTAGGATTAAATGTTTGAAATTCACTTGAGGAAGTGAACTTTGAAAGCAATTTAAAACAAAAGATGAAGTTGGAAGAAATGTCAGTGAGTTCAGAAGTCTTCCAAGTGAAGGGGACGGTGAGAAAGAACCACAGAGATCGGCATGGAAAAAGGCAAGAAGGAGAGAGGTCAGAAGTAGAGCCAGGTGAATTATTTTTGCCAAAACACTTTGTCGAAAAATGCAGATTTGGGACACATGAATCAGCCTCAGAACTTTTTCAGTGGGCAGAGG